CCAATTGAACCGGTAGTTATAAACACAAACGACGACTCAAGTTCTGGACACAGGGATAGTGATAGTGTTTAATTGTTTGAATATTTCTACAAAGACTTCCACAACTTGTCAAAAATATGTTCTGTATATCGAAGTAAATGTGATCTCTCGATTAATCTATAACCTAAGAGACAATTCGACTGTAAGACGAATTGGCCGATTTCATGTAAGTATCTTTCAAAAATAAGCTCTTTAAACCGATGAAACTTACAGATCATATTCATGATTATTTTTTACCAAAAAAAGGGATCAACTTTGTTTTGAGCGTAACTTGCTTACGTTTGATGCTAGAAACTTTTTTAAAAATCAAAAATAAAGATTTCTCTAAACAATTAAAAAAAAAGTAAAAAAATATATTTTTTTTATTATTTCACGTTGAATTATTCGATATGGAATTTGACGAATAGGTAAGAATCTATTTTTCATTAGCTATAACTCTGCTTCTGCTGGGTATACAGACTTCATACATATACTATTGTTTTCACTTTTTTATAAACTGTATTTTTGCTACCAACATTTTTTCCATAAAATACTTACCTTTTGAGTTATTTGCGAGAAATCGTCCAAAAACGTGGTGTTTTTGATGAAAAATGAATATATTCACTCGCAAATAACTCGAAAAGTATTGATTTAGTAAAAACCTCTATAGAACAAAAGTTACCTAGAATTAGTCAGTTTATCCACTTCCGGACTTATTTTGGATGTATATCTTTTCACCCCCCAAGAAGGTGCGGTACTCACCCCCAGGCAAAAATACACATCGGCACAATATCACTTTTTTTCCTTGACACGTTAGCTATATGTGTATGACAAATTTCATATCAATCCCAGTGGTTCTTTAAAATTTAGAGGTTTTTACAATATTTTACCGTTAGTGAATGGACTATATTGTGTATTAACTTTTAATCATCTTTGGTGTCAAGTTCCTAAAGAAATATGAATAATTAACAATATTATTACTGTTTAACAAAATATTAGACCTTAATTTAAAAATAAAAGTTTATTATTTAATTGCTATTGCGCCGCCTATGTTTTACAAAGAGGCCGACACTTGAGTGTCGAATTTTGTTTTTATGACTTGTCCAACTGACATCGTAGAAACTATAATATGAAACTTGAAACTTTATAGATTGTGCATATCTATGTAGCTATGATTACGTATAATTTTTACAATTTTTATCGGAGGCGGCAGTCTTTCAAAATATTATAACAGTCCATCGACAAAATGATAAACCAAGCGAGATAAAAATCATAATAAACGTTCCGAATCAGCAAAACTTTAATTTACTGAAATGATAAATAGTTTGAAACTATGAGTAATGCCATTGTTTATACAAACATAATATTCAAAAGCTTTTTTGCATGTCCTGTCACTATCATTAAATTAAATAGAACTGTTAAAACAAATTTACATTATAATTTAAACAAAGAAAGAAACAAAAGGTATGAATGTGTCAAGTACTCAGTTGAAATTGGACAACTGAAGATAATTATTATTTCATATAATATAATTACAATCTGCATAATAAATAATACTATCAGAACTAGGTAAAATGAAACAAACCTGTAGAAATCATTTGTTTTTCCTTTTTCTGAACTCACTTACCGGTGAAACTAGATCATAAGTTTTTTTTTCTATTTATCAGGATTGTCTACCGAAGAATATAGATGTCTGTGGTATAGAGTGTGGTGTTGATATTCTTGGTATAGATGTCTGTGGTTACATTCACGAACCAAAATTCTTCCTACTAACTGGCAACAATGTCTCCGTACAAACTCTCTGTATATCTTACTCCTGGATGGTAAGTATCATCATCTGGATAGCTGACACAGTGCATCTCCATTCTTAAGTCCCTAGGGCCATATAAGCCCAGTTCTTGCAGTGGAGACATTGACAAATTGTTTAAAATAGGTATCTTCTTCTTCTTAGCCTTCTGTCGTCCATGTTTGGAACTAGGCCTCACCCAACTCCTTCCATCGGTCTCTATCCTGAGCAACATATTTCCAATTTGTTCCGGCTATTCTTTTAATGTCATCAACCCATTTCATCTGTGGTCTTCCTCTTGGTCGTTTACTTTCGTAAGGTCTCCAAGGTATACCAAGGAGTATTGTTTCGTGATTTCTTCTAACTAAATGTTGATCTTTTTTCTCTATCTATTTGTCTTAATCTTCAATTTGCCGCAGTATTACTATCACGTTTAGCATTGAGCAATGTTTCGTTCTCGTCTTTAATAGCGTTGTAATTTGATGCAAGTAGCATATTATCTGCTTTATTTGTTTGAACATACTAGGTATAGCTATTAAATAACGAGACTGCTAATGAAAAAGAATATTATTTTAAAAATTATTCTACACAAGCTAGAAGAACAATTGGCTGCCTAAATGGAATACTTTGGAGCTCTGAAATAGGAATAAAGCGAAAATATAACATCTATGAGTCACTAATTAAAAGCAGTCTACTTTATGGAGCAGAAACTTGGAGAATAACCGAGAACAACAGAAAAAAATTAGAAGCTGTAGAAATGGATGTATTTAGAAGATCGTTAGGTATATCCCGCAGGGAAAGAGTTCGAAATGAGGAAGTAAGACGAAGAATTGGAATAGATGGTTACTTAACAACACACATTGAGAGGAAACAGTTGATTTGGTATGGTCATGTTCAAAGAATGGAAGACACAAGACTACCCAAGAAGATTATGCAGTGGGTACCACCAAACCGCAAAAAATGAGGAAGACCCAAAAAGACATGGAAAGAAGATGTAACTAAAGCAATGAGTACAAGAGGTCTTAGAGACGGACAATGGGATGATAGAAGGACGTGGAAGTTAGGCATCGGACAACGTCGAAAGACGTTCTAAAACCGATATATATATATATATATATATATATATATATATATATATATATATATATATATAAATTATTCTACAATCGAATGCTCTCCTTCAATATATTCCCCTTCCCTCGCCACACACCGTTCCATTCGTTTTTCCGTTGGTCAAAGCAATGCTGGAAGTCTTCTTTTGTTTAAGCTTTTAGGAACTCTGCCCTTTTTCGCTTCACCTCTTCCATCGACTCAAACCGGATGTCTTTTAAGGGCAGACTTGATCTTCGGGAACAGGAAAAAGTTATAAGGTGCTTCGAGCACTGGAATACCTCTAGCGGCTAAATAACTCTGGCCGTTTCTTATGAACCCGCTCTCGCAGCGTTGCCAAAATTTTCAAATAGTAAGTTTGGTTTACAGTTTTGACCCTCTGGAACCCATTCAGTCATCACGATGCTGTTAATGTCGAAAAAAAACGATTAGCATGGCTTTAAATTTTTATTTCGACATCCTTGCTTTTTTCATTCTTAGCGATGCAGGAGTTTTCCAGTGCATGGTGTAGCAGTCACGACTGCTAACATATAATTAATTAATATAATTAAATATTAAAATCGTAAAACCCCTCAGAATCTCGTTTATGAAACGTTTATGGACAATAGACAATACGATGCGCAAGTGTAACAACGTAAGTGGTGGCTCGTCCGGGATAACTATTAACCTGACAAGTTACGCTCCGTCACGATTTGACATATTGGTCATCTTGAACTTAACAGTATCCTTCCTACCCCTTACGGTACGAAGGATAAGGTTTTCGAATGAAATAACTAAAAACCCTATGAAAAGATACTTGAGACTACAGTTCATAGGGTTCAATGAATTGTCGCTTAGTTTTAATATCGTATTTGAATATTCAGGTTTCATCGCAAGTGATTATGTTTCCCATTAATTCAGGCTCTTCGTGTAACCTCTGAAGAAAATCTGAGCAGATTTGTTGACGGACTAGCTTTTAGTCAAATTTTTTGGGATCAACTTCGCACAGACTTTCTTCATGTTCAATTCGGCATCTAAAATTTTTCTGACGTTGGTCATTTTCGGTGCTCTCTCGGCCTTCAAAAAACCGTTAATGACATTCGAAAACACATTAATCCGTTGCTCATGTTTTTTGTCACACATTGTTATCGGCTTGAGAAAAAAAACACGTTCTTTTCCAACCTCTAGAGAAACAATACTGCTACAGCGTATTTTCGTACTGGAAGAGTAGACACTTCCAGCTATCCAATGCTGCATTCGTTTACCACTCTTCCCCTCTAGGACGCCTTCTGCGCGTGCATTCTCGTTATCTAATAGCCAGACCTCATATCTCTGATCTAAATGCTGTGCTTAGTTTTCTTTAATTCTTTGCATATTTGTTTAAGTGGGAGAAGGAAATAATGAAGATAGAAAAAACATTAAGATAGTGTTACAAATCTCTGTGAATTCAGGATTAAATGAAGTAATCGTCATTTAATTATCTTTGTTTTAACTTACAACTCGCTAAATTACAAACACCATAAATTACTAATTCAAAGGTCGCCGCAGTGGGCTTATATAATGACAGCATATGTTCTAGATATAGCCAGCGGAAGAACGAAGGCCGAAACCGTGCGCGATAACACGAAATTCCAGAAAGTGGCCAGTACGAAATCATCGAAAACAGAAACTGTGTGTGGAAAATTCGAGTGAAAAGATTATTATCGGCTTCTTCAAGCATAGGATCGCAATAAGGGGTCGCGCATCAATATACTGTAGAAAATTAAAAACACCGTTCCTGGTACGACTATATGATACGAGTGAACAACACGGGATTATCGAATAAAACTTGGGAATAGGTATTAAAAAGGCGAAGATAAAAATTAAAAAACCAAAGAAATCATAAAAGAACGGCAGATATATTGAAATGCTTTAACAGTAAAACAAATATAATCTTGGGTCATAATAATAGCAATCCGTGATATGATGAGAGTGATTATGTAGGTTTTTATATAGGTATTATTTTTTTTCATGTGCATCTCCTATAAAAAGGAGATGGAAAATGAAACGATAATTATAAAACCATGGCAAGTTATTAGATATCCTGATTGTTTTTATTTGATTTCAGCAACTGAAGTCCGCTGTCAAGAGAAAACCAAAGGAGGTCTTCGCTATGAAGTGATCCTCGGTGAGCCAGATGTCAAAGCTCCCCCACCAAAGTTGTCGCTCTCGCCAAAGGGTAGCATGTCCGTCCAGGATATCGAAGATAAACTAAAGGCAGCTGAGGAACGCAGACAGGTAAGTGTTACATTCCTCATTTTTTGCAGCCCAAAGCACAAACTAACATATGATTTTTACCAAGAAACTTAATCTTCTTGTCATTTTCCAGCAATTGGAATCAAACAAAATGGCTGCTTGGTCTGCGAAAATCATGAAAATCGAAGAGGCCAGTCGCAAAAAGAACGAAAAGACTTGTCAATTCATATCTGCCACTCGCGATGCTCTAGAACAAAAGATGGGTACCCACGTAGAGAAAAGGGAAGCATATATCACCGACTTGAGGTCAAAACTAAAGGTAAAGTAAATTCTTCTATATGTTTTCTAAAAATTCATGTTCAGTTTATTTTTTTGTTGCTTCAAATAAAATAGTTTTTGATTGTCTTCAATTAGAATAATAATCTATATAGATATAGATAACAAGGTAATAAGTAGACTTCGGCAAATATGCAAATAAAAATGTAGAAAATATGCGCATAAATATGCACGTGTTTACCCGAAAATATGCAAATATTTTACAAAATATGCATACAAATAAATAAAAAAAATCGTAAAATAGTAACAATTTTATTTAAAAAAAAAGTGTACATAACTAAATATTTCCTACTATTCATTAAGATTTACATTTATTTTAAGTAACTACATCATCTTTAAGTATGAATAAACTTATTTAGAATTATGGTAACAATAAATGACCAAGAGGTGTTCAAATATTTTCTAACAAAAACTTGTGGCTTCTGTCTGAGTACATATATTTATATATGGAAAAACTTCGTTGTATCTTGAACATCAACTGATGTAACGGGAGCATTTTTCAAACTAACCAAAACATTTGGTTCTAAATTAATTGTTACCGAAATATTTCCAGCCAGAACATTGACTACTTCAGAAAGAATATGGTAACCTTTATTTTTTTCCATAGTAGCTTCAAATTTTGTTAAAATATCTTTTCCAATATTACCTCTAACGTTCCGACAACATGACGCAAATTCTTTTATTAATGCTGTACTTTCGAACAATGACAGTTTTGGTGATTCTGAGTAATTGTTTTTTGAACAAAACTAAAATTTGATTTTATAAATGAAAGTTCTTGTTGAAGCAACTTACTCTGAAAAGTTTGTTTAGAATCCAAAAGAGATTGGGAACTTTCATCTGTTAACGTATCAATTATGTTCTTTATTTTAACAAAATGATCTGCATAAAAATTAGCTGCTTCTAACCATGTTCCCCATCGCCTTAAAATAGGTTGTGGTGGAAGAGGAATGTTAGGTAGTATTTCTTTATAAAGTTGAATTCTTATAGGAGATTTAAGAAATAATTTTTTGACACTGGATATCATGGTATTTACAAAAGGAAACTTTGTTCGTATTTCCTCTGCAACTCTGTTTAATCCATGCGCTACACAAGTAACATGTATTAAATCTGGGAAAAATATTTTTAAATTTTGTCCTGCTTTCACCGTATAAGGAGCAGCATCCGATAAAATAAGCAGTAATTTATTAGAAGGAATAGTTGTCGGAAGAAAAAAAGTTGCTAATGTTTCTTGTATAAAACGCGAAATTGTTAAAGCATTTGTTTTCTCAAGTTGCTGGCATGAAATAAGATGAGATTTTGGTAAGGTATCTTCTTTAAGAACACCAATCAATAAATGAGCAATATACTTTCCTGAGGAATCAGTGGTTTCGTCTACAGATATGTAAAAATAATTATCTGCAATTTCTTCCTTAATATTAATTAACACCGACGAGTATAGCCCGTTCACATTATTTCTTCTTAGAGACCGATCACTTGGAACATTAAGTTTGCAATATTTTTTTAGAAACGAACTAAAATTTACATTTGCTAATTTTGAAAGCGGTATGTTTGCAGACACTAATGCGCGACACAAGTCTTCATTAAAAGTTTCTTGCTCATCTAATTTTTTTGAAGTAGATTGGAAACATTTAGCCATTGAAGTTTGATGCTTTCCTCCTATTTTTCCTTTTTTTGCAATGTGTGAAGCAGTTCTCACATGTTGGTCTATCTGAAATTTCTTCTCACATGCTATCTATAAATAAAAATAAAAACCTTTATTTTAACCCAACCTTTAATATATAAAAATATACAAGGTGTTTTTGGTTAATCAAATAACTGGTTTGAAAAAAAACACTCGCTAAGTGTTTTAAATAATTAGTTTTTGTTACTAACCATTAGTACATCATATAACTTATTTTAAAATTCAACAAAAGTTTTTTTTTTTTTTGTTAATTCAATTACAATAAAAATAATTGTGTTTTAGAATAGCTGACTTCATAAAAAAAAGTAAAGGTGAAAAATTTTTCTAAATACACACCATTATATTGTACCATGGACAATTTTTTCTCACTAAAGGAAGCTATTTTTCATTTAAAAACAACCTACAAGTACTAAATTTCAAGTAAATACGTTTATTGGTTTTAAAGTTATTGTTGTTATTAACTAAAAGAATTTAATTTTCTTTTAATTTTAACACCCTGTATCTCGAAAAGTAAATAAGTTTGACCCCTCATTAACTATATCGTTTTGTTCAATTTTTCGAGAAGTATCTACAGTCAAACGTTGTGTCATTTGGAAACACCCTGTATGTATGAAATATTAGATATTTAATAGAAAATATTCTCTCTCTCTCTTTGTCAACCATTTTCCATCCACTCCTGAATGTAGGTCTCTCCCAATTGCTTCCATCTTTCTCTATCTTGCGCCAATCTAATCCACTGTTTGCCTGCAACCGCTCTTATGTCATCTACCCATCTTTTTTGAGGTCTTCCCATGCTTCTTGTTGTCGTCCTTGGTCTCCATTCTAGAATTCTCCGTGTCCACCTGTTGTCATTATATCGGGCTACGTGACCTGCCCAGCGCCATTTGATTTTTGTAATTTCTTCCACAATATCCCTAATCTTCGTTCTACGTCGTATCTCGGTGTTTCTAATCTTGTCTCTTAGTGATATTCCAAGCATGATTCGTTCCATTGCTCTTTGCGTTGTTTCTAATTTTTTGGCAGATTTTTTGGTAAGTGCTACTGTCTCCAAGCCGTAGGTACAAACAGGTAGTATGCATGTGTTATACACTTTTTTCTTTAAGTTTATAGGAATGGAGGTGTTTTTCAAGATATGTGCTAGTTTGCCGAAAGCGCCCCAAGCCAGTTGTGTTCTTCTTTTAATTTCAGCATCTTGATTTGGTTTTCCTAGTTTGATAACATGACCTAGATATACATAATGTTCCACATTTTCTATGGTATGATTTTGTATTGTTATATTTGTCTGGTCTCGGCTCAGTATTTTTGTTTTGCTGTAATTCATTTTTAAGCCTACCACTCCTGAAACTGCATTTAATTGTTGTAACATATCATTTAGTTCTTGGATATTATCGGCTATTAAAACTATGTCATCTGCGAATCTCAAATGGTTTAAGTATGATCCGTCGACGTTGATACCCTTATTGTTCCATTCCAGTTTCTTAAAAATATCTTCTAGAGCAAGAGTAAATAGTTTGGGAGAGATGGTGTCTCCTTGTCTTACTCCCCGTTGTAGTCTTATGGGATTAGTTTTTGTGCTTTCGTCCAGTTTTATATGCATTGTGGCATTTTCATATATGTTTTTAATTATGTTAATGTATCTTGAATCTATGCGTGCATTTTCTAGAGATTCAAGCACTGCCCATAATTCGATGGAATCGAATGCTTTGTGGAAATCGACGAACGCCATATGAATTGGAACATTATACTCGGTGCATTTTTCTATCAGTGTTCTTACGGTGTGCAAGTGGTCTATGGTATTAAAATGTTTTCTGAATCCAGCCTGCTCGATAGGTTGATAGAAATCGAGCTTATGTGTTAGGCGGTTGGTTATGATTTTAGTAAGTAATTTATACAGATGTGATAGCAAGGATATTGGTCGGTAATTCTCGATGTTTGCTCTGTTTCCTTTCTTGAATAATAAAATGACCTCGGAGTTGTACCATTCTTGAGGAATCTTTCCTTCATCAATTACTTTATTAAATAAAACATTTAATACCTGTTCCATTTTTCTGCCACCAATTTTCAACATTTCAACTGTAATCTTATCCTCTCCCGGACATTTATTCGTTTTAAGTTGATTTAGGGCCATTCTTATTTCATAGTCGGTTATGTCCGGTATTTCTTCTGAGCCGGTGTTAATTATTGTTCGTTGAGTACGTCGTTGTTGTGGTTGTGTATTTACCGAGTATAGTTTAGTGTAGAATTTTTCAATGGCCTCGCTTATTTCCTTTCTGTCTCTGACGGTGACGTTTTTCTCATTTTTTATTTCTATGATTTTTGTTGTGCCGCTTGAGTTTTTTGCTTTGAGTACTTTCATGTTGCAGTTATCTTGTATTATATTTTTTATTAGATTGTTATTATAGTTTCTATGATCGTTCCTGATTTCTTTCTTCACATTTTTGTTTAAACTTTTAAAGCTGTCCGAAGTTCGATCTGTTCTGTTTCGTCTTTCTTGGAGTAGTTTAATTGTATTAGGTTGGAGTTTAGATGTTTTGGCTGTTTTCGTGTTTGAGCAAATTTTCTTAACCGATGTTGTTACAGTTACTTTTATTTTAGTGGCTAGTCCGTTTATATCCAATTGTTTTAGTGTCTCTATTGATTTTAGTCTTGTGCTTAGTTCTTTTTGGTATTCCGTTTGTTTTTGAGACAGGACATCGGTGGTTGGGTATCGTTCTCGTTTAATAAGTTTGCTTCGTTCTATTCTCGTCTGTATTTTAGAAAATATTAGATACTTACAATTTTGCCACAGACTGAACAGTAGATTTTTCCCATATCCATAGACAGCTCTTTATAAGGTTTAATCCAAGTTAAGGCACTGGTTGTTTTAGGCATTATAAAATCACAATCTTCCTTTTTGTTACGCACAACGAGTGTTTACGCTTTGAATATCAAAACAAAAATTTACAAAGATTTACAAATCTGAGCATCAAATTAGAAATGTTTAGGTACCTAATTCAATAAACTGGGAGATTTTGGAAAATCCCTAAATTAGGAACAAAACTATTAGCCGTTTACCTGCTGTTAAGATACAATAAATTGTAGATAGATTTGGGGATTAGATCATAAAATGCAAATGAGCGAACCCTTAGCGATTATCCAATAACTGAATGCCTCAGTGACCGAGACTTTCTAAGAATGTTGAGGGCTACTTAAATTGATCTTCTTTGAAATTGTAAATGTTTTGTACCTGTAGAGATTACGTACTTAGATCATTTCTTGATTAAAATGACTACAAAATTTTATACAAGAATTGAAATAAATTG